GCCGCCGGCCTGTACCGGGAGGGGGGCAGCGCGGGCGCTGAGAAGGGGCGATCCCGCTGCACCCGAAGTGCAGGGGGACAGCTACTTTCCAAAACCCTTGTCTGAGTTTACGCTTGCGTTTTTTTGGGTTTGTTTTTGCCTTTGCCCCAGCGAGAGCAGGGAGGGCAGGCCTAGCCCTCGGGCTGGGCGCCTTCCCTCGCGGGTTTTGCGAGTCCTGAAAGTTTGTGGTACTTGCTGGGGGTGGCGAGTTAGAATAACGTGTCGCTGTTGTTAGGAGGGGAAAAAAAAAAAAAAAAAAAAAAAAAAAACCAAAAGCAAGGGGTCAGTAGAGACTTATCTGAAACAGAGTAAGTTCCAATATGAGCGACAACTAGAGTAGGAAACAAAACTGTCGCTTGTGTGAGAATGATTTAAAATTCAGTTTAAGTCATGTAGCCCTCCACACTCTCGAACTGCTGTTCTCTAGAATGCTTTCTTGGTTTCTGCAGTTTGGATGCCAAATCTACGAGTATCCAGGTAGTCGTTAAAGAAGGTGGCCTGAAGCTCATCCAGGTCCAAGATAACGGCTGTGGTATCAGAGTGAGTAAACAAAGTTGGCAGCCCTATGCTGATGTTTAAGACTACCTTTTAAAATTTATTTCTTGAAAAAAACAGTTGGAAATGGAGAGTGACTATTACTCGTCCCTTTCACGTAGAAAGAAGATCTGGACATTGTATGTGAGAGATTTACTACGAGTAAACTGCAAAAATTTGAAGACTTGGCTAGTATTTCTACGTACGGTTTTAGGGGCGAGGTAAGCTCTTCCTCAAGGCTTTGAAACTGTTCATTGTTTGTGGTTACCCTGTTCTAGTGGGGTTTACATACTACCTAATTTCCAATACTCTTTACTGAAGCTTCTGTTTTCTGAGAGAGTCTGCTGTGTGAATATAGGTCAAAATACATTTCTATGTCTTTCAATGTTAGGTGGATGCCTAGGGCGAGGTATATAATCTTTTTGCTTTCTGGAGTAATTTTTTTTTTTTTTAAAGTAAAACAAGGCCTGTCTTCTCAAATGCTGTTTCAGCAATCTGCAGGTAAAAAGACAAAGATTTGAGTGGAAGGTGAATCTTTGATGTCAGACATTTTTCTAAATACAATACTTAAAATTAAATCTGACAAATGTACATTTGTCTTCCTTTGCTTTTGCTATTAGTCAAATTTAGCCCCTCTGACCCCTCAGATATGCTTGTTCTCCAGATTCCCATAGGCTGTATCTAACCTTGTCTGAAAGAGCAGTCCAGGGCGAGTTCTGTTTTCCCCTCCAGAGGGACAAGACATTGTCATGGTTTAACCCGGCTGGCAACTCAGCACCACGCAGCCGCGCGCTCACTCCCCCCTCCCTCAGTGGGATGGGGGAGAGAATCGGGAAGAAAATAAAAGGTTAGAGCCGTGGGCTGAGATAAAGACAGTTTAATAAGAGAAAATAATAATAATAGTAATAATGAGAATGATAACAGAATATACAAAACGAATGATGCACAATGCAATTGCTCACCACCCGCTGACCGATGCCCAGCCTGTCCCGAGCCGCGAGCAGTCCCCCCGCAACCAACCGACCCAACAACTCCCCCCCAAGCATGACGTTATATGGTATGGAATAGCTCTTTGGTCAGTTTGGGTTAGCTGTCCTAGCTGTGCTGTACTCCCAGCTTGTTACGCACCTGGGTGAGCAGGAGAAGCTCAAAAAGTCCTTGAGTAATCTGAGCACTACTTGGCAACAGCTGAAAACATCAGTGTGTTATCAACATTCTTCTGGTACTAAATCCAAAACACAGCACTATGCTAGCTGCTATGAAGAAAATTAACTCTATCCCAGCCGAAACCAGGACAGACATACAAGTGTGTTGCCTGTGCTCAGATACGTAGATCCTTGCCTGCTCCAGAGGGCAGACTGCCCGAGTTCTCTCCTTGCACACTTTCAACAAAATCAGCTCCACAGCCAGTGGAGTCTGGTCCTGAGGCTGGCTTCAGCAGGCTGTGCAGATGCATCCATTGAGTTTTTCAGGAGAGGCATTGCAACCTAACTTTGTAATGTTACCTACAGTCAGGAGAAGAACTTGGGCAGGGATGAGGAATTAACGGCTAAAACCTTCATCTGCCTTTTGTTAACACAAAAGGAAGAAAAGAGTACGCCTGGAACAACTTTGCACATTTTTTAGCAGTGTTACATGGTTAGCTGCTTGCATCATCAGAGATAGTGAAGCGTTAGAAAAGCTAAAAGAAGGTCCTGGATAAAAGCCAGTGTCATAGGTACTAAAATTTGTTACAGCTTTACTGACCTGAAGTTTTCTTACGCGGGTTTTTTATTAATTACTTGCAAGCGGTATATCGAAACTTAGTGATGCTGTTTAAAATGTGGCTGCTCCTTCAGCAATCCACGGTTTCCAGAGCAAGGTTTACAAAGATGCTTTCTCTTTTCCTAGGCCTAGCATCAGTCATGTTGCCCATGTTACGGTAACAACTAAAACAGCTGATGCAAAGTGTGCATACAGGTATGCGACCTATTATCCAAGTGAATTCTGTTGCATGTAATAATGAACAGATGTATTTAATTCTCTTTTCAGTGCTCTTACTAAGGAGGAGGGTGGGTTATGTGTTTCTAGGGTAGTTACAAAAAAGACCCAGAATGTGAGAAAACATAGTTTGAGTAATTTTTTTTTAATTCCAAATTGTAAAGGTAAGATTTTAGCTAAATTTTTTTTTTTTTTTTTTAAAAAAGGGAAAAAATAAAAGAAATTCTACTTCAGCAGCCAACGTAGGGTAAACTCTTGTCTCTTTATTTTCGTTTTCTGTCTAGAGCTACTTACAGTGATGGAAAAATTAAAGCCCCTCCGAAACCCTGTGCTGGAAACCAAGGAACTCAGATCACCGTAAGTTTTTGTGCATGTTCTCTCTTGTCCCTGTTCTGTTCCCTGGTCGTTATGCTTGCACCGCTTAGTGCTGTGTGTTACATTGTAAGGTACGTGACCGTTATCACCTTATAGCATATTTTCCAAATGATGTGGTTGCGTGGTTTTGTTGTTTTGTTTTTGTTTTCTTCCCCAAAGACAGCAAGGTAAACTTCAGAAGATCATCTCCTTCCCCACCCCCCCTTTCTGAAGATAGCATAGTCATATACTATCAAAAATACTTCATAATCCCTCTGGCCTGCTGAAAGCCTCAGTGGACAGTTAGGGCCACAAGAAGCTCAAAATGTGAAGGAGCGTGCGTGTTGCACAGTGTAGGGTGGGAAGTGGAAGCCTGGCCTGGGAGGCTGCAGGTGTGTCTTGCAGTGGGGAACATACACCCAGCAAGCTTCACATGCCAATGTTTAGGATAATGCATCTTGGGGGGGGGCAGAAAAAAAAGAAGCGGAACTTCTACATTTCCGCCTTTCTCACTATAGCAGAAAAATAATTTGCATACTGGTCAAATAAATAGCGAAAATAAACAGTTTAAGCTGCTGTTTTAATGTCATCAACAGCCTTGATTGCAGCAACTGTTTTAACATCTATTTGTGTTTCATTAAAGCACAGTGTAATTGGGGAATCCATTGTCATCTGCCATGGAAAGCATGCAACTGTCACTGAAAAGCGAGTTGTAGAGTTGTTGTTACTGGTAAAAATACTGATGTACCAAATACTTGAAAACATACATTTCTCTGGCGTTGCATTTTGTTAGGTGAACCTAAGCAGGTAAAGAATAAATGGAATGTTTATCCTCTATAAACAAATGTTTTCAGAAAATGTTGTGGTATCTATTAAGAGGATGGATTTAAATGAATTGTATAGTATATGAGAGAAGATTTTTAAAATTATTTTTAATTGTGATCTTTTTCTCTGCAGGTTGAAGATCTTTTTTACAATGTAAATACAAGGAGGAAAGCTTTAAAAAATCCAAATGAAGAATACGCAAAAATACTAGAAGTTGTTAGCAGGTAAACTGAAACAGGAGGTTCCAGTTTTTAACACTGCCAATGAAAGTGTCAGGGCTTTTCAGAGAGAGTGGCGCGTGTGTGTGGTGTTGGTTTTCATTGTTGGTTTTAAGGGGTTTTTTTAACTACTTGTTAGTATATGGTGTCAGGTAACAGTCCCATTTGATACACTGTTTCTCCTCTGGAATAGTCTATGACTATTATTAGAAATCCTGCAAACAAGTGGTGATAGACTTGAACGAGTGAGCTCTCAAAGAACTTGGGCTGAATAGAATCCAAGTAAAAACTGTGCAAGAGCACTGAGATTTGCCTGAATATGAAAAGCTGAGCAGCGATTTCATGTCCTCAAAAAAAAAACCCCAAACAAACAAACCCCTGAAAAAACTCAAACCACTTTAATTACCAGATGGTCCCTGGCTTTGCAAGCAGGATCTGTAACCTTCTACATTTCCGCCTTTCTCACTATAGCAGAAAAATAATTTGCATACTGGTCAAATAAATAGCGAAAATAAACAGTTTAAGCTGCTGTTTTAATGTCATCAACAGCCTTGATTGCAGCAACTGTTTTAACATCTATTTGTGTTTCATTAAAGCACAGTGTAATTGGGGAATCCATTGTCATCTGCCATGGAAAGCATGCAACTGTCACTGAAAAGCGAGTTGTAGAGTTGTTACTGGTAAAAATACTGATGTACCAAATACTTGAAAACACACATTTCTCTGGCGTTGCATTTTGTTAGGTGAACCTAAGCAGGTAAAGAATAAATGGAATGTTTATCCTCTATAAACAAATGTTTTCAGAAAATGTTGTGGTATCTATTAAGAGGATGGATTTAAATGAATTGTATAGTATATGAGAGAAGATTTTTAAAATTATTTTTAATTGTGATCTTTTTCTCTGCAGGTTGAAGATCTTTTTTACAATGTAAATACAAGGAGGAAAGCTTTAAAAAATCCAAATGAAGAATACGCAAAAATACTAGAAGTTGTTAGCAGGTAAACTGAAACAGGAGGTTCCAGTTTTTAACACTGCCAATGAAAGTGTCAGGGCTTTTCAGAGAGAGTGGCGCGTGTGTGTGGTGTTGGTTTTCATTGTTGGTTTTAAGGGGGTTTTTTAACTACTTGTTAGTATATGGTGTCAGATAACAGTCCCATTTGATACACTGTTTCTCCTCTGGAATAGTCTATGACTATTATTAGAAATCCTGCAAACAAGTGGTGATAGACTTGAACGAGTGAGCTCTCAAAGAACTTGGGCTGAATAGAATCCAAGTAAAAACTGTGCAAGAGCACTGAGATTTGCCTGAATATGAAAAGCTGAGCAGCGATTTCATGTCCTCAAAAAAAAAACCCCAAACAAACAAACCCCTGAAAAAACCCAAACCACTTTAATTACCAGATGGTCCCTGGCTTTGCAAGCAGGATCTGTAACTGCTCTGTGCTCTCAGTAACACAAAAGCTAGCAAAGAGTAGCAAGACCGTATGCGAAGCGTTAGCCTGCTTCCCCAGGGAGCTACTTCAGAGCCAGGCAGGAGATTTACAGGCTTCAGCCTGAAGGGTCTGGTCCCGCTGCTCTGTGGAACAGGCTGATCTGAAGTCTTGCTGAATTACATGCTTCCAACTTACTGTTTTGGGTTTGGGGTTTTTTTGTTGTTTTTAGGATTTTTCATCTTCTAATTTTGGTTTGTTTTTTTTTTTTTCCCTCTTGAATTTTTGAGTTATTAACTGTCCCGGTCACAACAGTCTAACCTCTGTCTGCATTTTTACATTTCTCATCTTGCAGGGTTTTTCTCACAACTTAACAACTTCCCTAGAAGTTTGAGCCAGCATTCCGCAGCTGTAGTGTATCAGAGCTTGGCCCTGGGGTCACAGACAGCTGAACCATCTGGGTAGGGGAAGGTAGAAGGGCGAGCCAGCCATTTTTCAGATCCTTTCTCCGTGAATAGTTGACACTTGATCCTGTAATACTGAGGAGGTTTTGCCATTCTTCTAGTTAAACCTATGCAGTGAAACTGAACTAACCAGGTCTATAGAAGTTGATTGGGGTTTTTTGAGAAATAACCTTGAATTTCATATGATTACAAGTGAGTTATAAATAGAAAACGTTTATTTTTATAGCTGTTTAGTCCAGAAAAGCTCAATTTGGCTCAAATCACATTGCTGTGTAACAGCAAAGGAAACTGCTTTCTCCCATTACTAGCCGCTTTTTAGCATTCAGGGAAAGTCACCTTTTCTTTCACGTACCGCAGTCTTATGTTTACCTATTTTTCAGGTATGCCATCCATAACTCGGGCATCAGCTTTTCAGTTAAAAAGGTATGTAGATAAAGTCTTTATAACTTCACCATGTGTCTGTATATATCTGTACGTGTGTATATATAATGCGTATATATGAAAATGCTAGAAAATTTGCACTGCATCTTTTGCGGTGGGATTAGTGCCTTCCCTTGTACTGAAGTGTTGATGTGCACGTTGATGCAGTTTGAATAGAAACCGCATTAGCTAGAAGTAAACAAGACAAAAAAATATTTGTCAGGAGTTTGGTGTTTTCTATGTGGTCAGTGTGTTATTTTGTTTTAGCTTTATGAGCTGTTTCAGCTTCTTTTGAGAGTCTGGTTACTAATAACTGTATGAAAAGAGGATGGGGTAGAGTACCTTCATTCTGTTCTTGATAATTATTTAATGAACTGTTTATGCTCCTCACTTTCAAAGATGGAGTTACCAGCCCGAATGGTTCTGATGTGATCCAACAAATCTTGTAATCCTGTGCCATTTACCATCTATTGCTTTTCTGAACACAAATAAGTAAATAATAATACAATACATGATGTGTTCCGTGCCTTTTTGTTAGAAATGTTAAGTTTAATGTATTTCTAAAACTTCAGCCAGAACCGTGAATTGGTTAACACTCATTTCTGCTCTCTTTAGCAAGGTGATACCATGTCAGATGTTAGAACCTTATCAAACGCCTCAACAGTGGACAACATTAGGTCCATCTTTGGAAATGCTGTTAGCAGGTACGTTGATGTCAAGTTTCCTTTTGACATGATGTTTCCAGTAGCTCTCCCTCCCCTTTCTCTTTTAAAGGACACGGACCGTGCTAACTTTTCCTGCTTCCTTCAAGGTGACTTGCAGAGAAGAGGGAGTGTTGCAATAATAGAGCTCTCCCTTGTCTTGCAGAACATGTGACTTTTTTTTAGTATATCAAAGGAAGGGGGAAAGTTGCGAAGCTGTTCCTTTAATGCACTGAAAGGGAGCCATCTGCTCGTAACTTTCTGTGTGCTCATTTAAAAAGAGCAAGCTGGACCTGTGTTCTCTGCAAGTTCCTAGCCTCTTCCTAAGCTGTGAAAATCTTGCTGCTTTTTACCAGTCTGCTGTCTGAAACATTTTGAAGTCTCCTCGCATTTATTTTTTTGAACTCTTACATTTTAATATTTTGACAAAAGCTATATTAGCTGAGGCTGACTAAATCTGGCAGAAAAGTTGAAAACAAATAAAACCAATCATCTTTTGAAAATGTATCTGCCACCTTAGGAAAAATTCTCTAAGACATTCAGCTGTGAAGAATTCACTGAGTGGACTTGTGGAATGGATTTGTCCCATGAATACTTGGGTGTCAGTTTGATTCAGTTACTAAAATCACGCTTCACGTGTAAGGAATGTAACTTTTAATACGTTTAAAAACCTTTATGAAACACAGCAAAATAGAGAGGCTGTTCAGTGATAAGGTTTGCAGCGTTGTATTTTTGTTATGCATTTTTTTATTTACTACTGATGCTTATTTGATGCAGTTTTTCCTTTGTGCAGTTCTGAATAAATTGTGCATTGCAACTTAAATGTTTTGACCAGGTGTTTGGAAGTGAAACTTTTATTTTGCCCAATTTAAGATGTTTAGCTTGTTATTTTGACTTCAATGAACGCAAATAAAAATGGCATTCAGTATATATTAAGGTTGAATTAGAAAAGACTTATGGGCTACTTATTTCCATGTTAACTTCAGAAGTTGGCATAATGCCTTGCTAGAGAGCTGTGCTCACCAGTTACCAAAGTGGATTTCCTTGACTAATGAACCATGAAAATTATAAAAACTGTTATGAAAATTATTAATGTTAGGAGCTGTATGCATGAGCAAGGAAAAATGTTTACATTTTGATGACTTCTTAACAGCCCACCAATAAATATTAGACTGACAAAAGTGGACAGAGCAGTTGAACAAGAATGTTCTCGCCTGGCTGCTGACAGTTTTGAAGTGTCCTTACCTATCTCTGCCAATGACTTAAATGGTGAAATGCATATTAGAATTATCAATAGATGGTTATAATATTATGGATACTGTGATATGCTAAGGTATTAACAAGATACCGTGGATAGTTTTACAGACTCTGATGATACTGTACTACTATTTTACATTTACTTAGAAAGAAGAAACAAGGAAGTTCTGGTTAAATAATTTTTGTGACTCAGCAATGAATGTTTGAACTCTCAAATAATTCTAATGTTTTCATTAACCGTGATATAAATAGAACATAGAACAATATATTGCTACTTGTGAGTACTGTTTGAAATTTGCATCAACAGAAAAATTCATTTTTGCGTGTGTTTCTGTCAAACTGTCAATAGGGAACTGATAGAAGTGGGTTGTGAAGATGCAAGTCTGGCCTTTAAAATGAAAGGCTACATCACGAATGCAAACTATTCTGTGAAGAAATGTGTATTTTTACTCTTCATAAACCGTAAGTTTAAAAAAAAAAAAAAAAGCAGCATGTTGTACAGTTATATGTTGCTTATGTAATAAGCAGAAGAACAAACTGAAGAACTGAAAAAATGTATGAGATTCTTAAAAGCATAAGTGTTACAGTTAATTGTAGATCTCAAGGTGTTTTTCTGTTTGTAATGTGCATCATGCTTTGCACTCTAAATAGTGGAAGGCAGCTAAGACTGGGCCTAAAGGAACTTATGCTTGTGGAGTGTCAAGGTTGTGACTGTGTCCTGCTGACTTAGTATACAGAGCGGTCTCTCCATTCTGTGGCAACATTGGCACAGGATGCCACAAATCTTGACCTTATGAAATAATGGGAAGGTAGTCTGGCTATTTCAAGTCTTTGTGGAAAAAAGTACTTCTAATATAAAACATATTAAGAAGATATTGCCTATTCCTGGTTTTGTATGAAGAATAAGTAGGTCTCGGGGAAAACGGGCGTAATGGATGCCCTTTGAAGATACGAAGCGTGAAGATGTTGGTCTGAAGCAGTGGTTGGACACTGTGCAGGATATTCCAGAGGTGCACTTTGAAAATAGCATTTTGTTCTGTGTTTCAGATCGATTGGTAGAGTCAGCCGCTTTGCGGAAAGCCATAGAAACTGTGTATGCTGCTTATTTGCCAAAAAGCACGCATCCATTCCTATACTTAAGGTAAAGTAATAGGAAGAAGTAGCCTTTTAATACCATCTCGTAGGATATAGCTAGGATCAGTAGGTTTAGAAGGACATTTGTGTTCCTGATAGTAGTGTTAAGCATTGCACTGAGGTAATTAATTGCCAGACAGGAGATAATTCGCTGTGTATCTTTAACGTTCTAAAAATCAATCACATTAAAGAAGTCTTAAGAACTTAATGGGCCTCGTTTTCAGAAGTAGTGAGTGTCTGTAATTTCAGCTTACGTCCTTTAACATTACGGATGTTCTTCACTTAAGAAAATTAGTTACACTAGGAATACAGCAGGGCATTTAAGACCAGTCAGATAATTTATTCCAAACTCATTAATGTTTTTCCTTGCTGAGATATGTATTTGTGTCATTATTTTTAACAGTTACTGTTCTTCTTGGTATGCTAGTGCAACAGAAGTAAGTGAATTGCATACTGCTTTCAGGAAATAAATATTTTTTTTAGAAGTCAAGTAATAGCTAAAATTGAACTGAAACTGTCCTTTAAAAACTGGAGAATATGATATAGAATGGAAGACCTGGCTTTAATTGCTAAGCAATTGAATTTTGCTGTTCACTGGCGAAACTTAGTGAAATCCAGTGCTTTCTAACCATGAAGTTCTTGCATTGCAGAATTTAATTGAATTCCTGCTTGAGATTATTGCTAAATGACAGGGCATCAGGAGAATTAACTCATGAGACACTGCAAGTAAAAGATATTTCTAAAAACCGTTTTGTAGTAGTACAGCGGAGAGATTGGTTTAAGCTTACCTATGTAAGCTGATTTTGGTGGGTTTGGAATAGAGTTCTTCAGAGTAATTATTTTTCAGTACACTACAGTCAGATTTGTTTGGTATAACTTAGGAGGCTTCAGGGCTATTTTGGCTTCTCTGCACGGAGTAATGGCCCCGAGTCTGACAAATTTTGTACTGAACCAATTTGTGCCCTATTGGCCATCCATGGAAAATCTTAGCTTAACTTCTTTTAAAATGTTTTCCAGCCTGGAAATAGCACCCCAGAATGTAGATGTGAATGTGCACCCTACAAAACATGAGGTCCATTTCCTTCATGAAGACAGTATCCTAGAGCGTGTGCAACAACATGTAGAGAGCAAGTTATTGGGCTCTAATTCTTCAAGGATGTACTTCACTCAGGTGAGAATATGTGTTTGAAGTGACCACAGCTCTGCACTATTCTAACTATTGTGGATACATTTACTCTGTTCAGTAGCACAATCTATGCAGTAGCTGACGGCCATCAATGTTAAGACTGATAGCTTGAGATCTTTGCTCTATGTTTCAGGGATGAAACTGCTTTAATATACCAAAGTTAACAATGTGGCAGTGAACTTGAGAAAAAGTGCATGAAAGCATTTTAAATACTTCGCTCTGTCAAGTATCTGTTCAGTCTTTTTGATTTTACAAGTGTATTAGTCTTCACGTGTGGTAAATTGGTTTTACTCTGCCATGGTTTATGTGAAAGACGTGTGACTGAGGAAGTTTTTTGTTCTATGTATGTATGTGTTAAACACCTTGGGTTTAATCTAACTGGAAAAAAAAAAAAAAGGGAATATTTCCTAATATGCCTTTATATACAGTGTAGTTTAAAATTATAACCATAATACTTTTAAAAAAAAAAAAAATTTCGTTGTCCGTATTTACTGTAAGTATTTTCCCTTTGAGATGAGAGAATGCTAGCCAATGATTTTGTTAACTGCCAAGATGATGACATTTACGCTGTGTGTCTAGTGAGTGCAAAGTTGGCAGCCTGTTTAAGCAGCAGACACTGCACCTGTGGGGCTTGAAAGTTACTGGCCTCTGAGCAGTAAGATGCTGTGAGAAATGTGGCTGATCTTTGTGGGTTTTTTCTTGTTGTTGAATCTCTTCTCTTTACTTCCCTGTATCTGAACGAAGACATTGCTTCCAGGGGCCGAGTGCTCTTCCAGTGAGGTCGTAAAAGCATCAGCAAACTCTTCTGCGGTTACCAAAGGAACGAGTGATAAAGTTTACCCGCATCAGATGGTCCGCACTGATTCCCGGGAGCAGAAATTGGATGCTTTTCTTCAGCTGGTGAACAACCCCCTCAGTACAGGCCCCGCTGAAGTGACGACAGAGGCTAATGCAGGACCTCCGGAGGGTGCGGCCAGGCCACAGGATGCTGAAATGGAAGATGTCAGTGATCTGGTTGAAATGGCTGTTGTTCAGGGGGACACAGTGATGCCTGAGGGGCTGAGTGAGAGTGCACGCTTGTCTCCTGAGACTGTGCCTCCTCGGTAAGTCTCTTCTTTCATGCAAGGCTGCCTATTTATTTCATGGCATGGCCCTGAAACTGAAGATTTTTCTGACCTCTTTGGAATTCTGCCTTTTCAGAAGGAAAAATTTTCCTAGAATAACTTTCCATGGCATTTTATTGAGAAATTGAAATTCATCTGTGAACTTTAAATGACATAACTTGTGATTAAATTTTTTAACTGGAATAGGATTTCCATGCATACTGAAAGGCAGGAAGCAGTGTAAGTAATAGCATTAACTTCAGTTTAGGGAGATCACACTGGTCTGTCTCTCTTGGGAGGCCCTCCTTTTTGTGGGGGGATGGAAACGACATCACTGAATTATGCAGACATTACCCTAGGAAAGATTAAAGTGCTGTAATCTTTTTATAGCTCCTGTAGGAGCAGTTGTGAGAGGCCGAAGTCTTCTGAGGGAATCTGATCCCCCCCACCCTGACTATTACAGAACAATAATCATGAAAAAAATCATCAGAAATATCCACATCTTTTGATGTGTCCTTTAGAGTCCAATTCACTTGGTGCTTAAACAACAGATGTCTGATATGGTTGGTATTAGAGAGTACTAAATTCTCTTACGAACTGCATTTTCCTAACAAATTATGCCTCTGAAGTAAAACAAACCAGTCTTTCTTCCTGGGAAGCTTTGGGACACTTTCTGCATTTCCCATGTTAACGTACAGCATGTGAATCGAACATCCCACCTGTTGGTGTGTTTTGCTTAAGTGACAGGAGAATTGAACATAATTCCTTTTGGTTTGGTATTGCAGAAAGAGACCACGGGAAGACACGGACGTAGAAATGGAGAAAGATGACAGCAGAAAGGACATGACTGCTGCCTGCACCCCTAGAAGAAGAATTATCAACTTGACCAGTGTATTGACTCTCCAGGAGGAAATTAGTAACCAGGCACATGCAAGTAAGCAAGCCTTTTGCTCCTTAAGATTATTGTTATTCCACCAACTAAACGTCATTGTTTGAACTGCTGAGGAGAAAGAAATTTAAAAGGTGGCCCCGTCAGCTCACTGTGCTGCTAAGCAAGCTCTTAACAAAAAAGTTTGTTAAACATCAAGGGCCAAACCTTGAACAGGCAGCTGCCCCACTGGACGACTGTTGTAACCTTGTACCTTGTTAGTTGATAGAGGTTTTATGCATTCTAAATATTTTGCAAACCTTAACCTGCATCATAACTAATAACAGTATAAAATCACAGCTTGAAAAGCTAAGTTCTTTTGTAAATTTCAAACAGAAATGGCAGCTACAATATGGTCGTTACGGAAATTTTTGCTGAGTCACCCAATTGTGAAGTAGACTGGGACAGGCTTGACAAGCATCGTTTTTGTGTACTGCCTTTGCTTTTCATTTTCATTTGTGTCAGTCCCACTTATTTCACCAGTATCACACTTTCATGGATCTCTCTCCTGGTAAGAGCTGTTTTAGAAGAAGATAAAAGGTTTGTAATTCTTCCTAGGGTTGTTTCCCTCTTGGCTCTTTCAGTTGGCTTTAGAGTCATACTGAGTCACATAACCCGTATTATTCAGTTAGTCCAAATGTTGGGAATCTCGTTTTCTGAGTGGGGTGTTGAATTTATTTTGATTTTTCTGGTAGTAAGAATTGGGGCTATTCCACAGCTAAAATGGCTAGACTAACAGACATTTGTAATAAATAACTTCTTTATATATTACTAAAAATCTTTATCTTTAGAAGGCATGTACCTACACTTTACTTGTGCTCCAGAAAGTTTTGGGTTAGGCTGGTAATTCTGAGCTGGTCACTCCATAGCTGACTGTCACTGTTTAAATTCTGAAGTTAAGGGGTTGTCCCTGAGCCATAAAATGTCCCAAAATGTCTCAAAATACATGGTAGAAGTTATGCAGCTGCTTGAGGTTGTGTCTTGCCTTCACATGGGTAAGAAATGCCTACAAGAGACCTTTGCAAGACAGACTCTTCTCGCAATACTTCATTCCTTTGGAAAAGGTAACAGTGGCATTTGGGTAGTGTAGAGTTTTGTACGTGCTGTGACTGCAGCTGTGACGAAGCTACTTTCAAGGACTGCAATTAGTGACTTCTTTTTTGTGGAAAGCCTAAAATGAACTCTCTGTTATGGAATCTGACTTCTCATACTTTTTTTTTTTTTTTTTTCAATCTATATAACTGAGAAGGCTGGAAACTTATTTTGGGAATGAAAAATAAATACATTACGGACCTATTCTATCATACTTTCAGAATTTAGTATGACAATACTAGATTTTGCTGCAAAGTTGGTTTACACCTGCAGTTTTCTTTGAAGTATGTGCTCCCTTGCTGATCTCCTGTGGCTGGAAATGGATTTTGAAAGACTATTCAAGTCAAACACAGAGGTTGTGTTGTTCTTTTTCTTTTTTCTTCCAATTTACATTTGTAGTTTAATTGTTACATAACTATTCTTACTTATGCTTTAATATATATGAGTATAGGTGTGTGCACACAACTGATTAATATTTCAAAACGTGGATAATTGATAGCTCAGGCCTATGAGAAGCAGCAGGGGTATAGTAGTGACTGAACAGTAATCTGAGACTTCAGGGCTAAAAAGACATGAACCATTCAACTAACTAAATTAGGGCAGGGTTGCAGATATGCAGTTTCATCCTTTTGTTTCTTGCCCACCCCCTCAATTGTTGCAGATCTTCAGGAGATGCTCCGTGATCACTCATTTGTTGGCTGCGTCAGCCCTCAGTGGGCTCTGGCCCAGCATCGGACAAAACTGTATCTTCTCAATACAACAAAACTCAGGTAAAGAAGCTGTTAGCCTTGTTGGCAGTTGAAATCAGTACTGATTACCTAGCAAGTTAGAAGGAAGGAAACGACAGGGAAAACATCATTGTCTTGTTGCCTATCTGAAAAGTCAGGAGGCTAAAGATTAAGCAGTCAGTTCAGAACAATGGAAACAAGTCTGGCATGCTTGGGAAAAGCTGCAGGGAATCAGTGTAATTAAAACACCAGCTACTGCATTGTGTGCTTACAGACTGGGGGAAGGGAAAGAAACTTTATTTGCTTTTTGTGATGGTCTACAGCAGCAACTGGTGTACAGCGCACCTATAAACATGAGCAAGCAGAGGGTTCAGAAGAGTCATGTAAAACATTGGAGCCAGCTGGGTTAAGAGAATCTGCAGGACATGATCATAACACAAAGTTTCTATTTTTGCAAATGCAGCCTTAAAGGGCCAGTTACATAAATTTTGTAGCAAATAAGAGCATATCCTGAAGGTAGACATGCCTATCAGTTTCCAGCCTCCTGTGCATTTCTTGCAATGCAGCAAGGGAGTAAAGAGGTTGAAATATATGGTATCTGGGAATAAATCGATAGAGGCTGCATCCTTGAGTATGGCACAGAAATGTTACAATGTGGCTGTGATGTCAGAAACCAAGAAACAGATTTAACTGTAAACCCCTAGGTAGCACATGTCAATCTTAAGCAGTTTAGTTAAAGTAAGATCTTCGTTAATATGAATGGATATGTATATCTGATGTTTCCAAGATGACCCTTATTTTCCCTCCTATTTATGGTAACTTGGGAGATACGTGATCCTGTCCATATAACTAGTTTTTGTACTTCAATTTAGCCAAGAACTCTTCTACCAGATACTTATTTATGACTTCGCAAACTTTGGAGTCTTAAGGTTGTCTGTAAGTATAATTTTACGTTCTATTCTATATAAAAATATTTTTTTAAAAATTTATTTACAGTAAGCCTGTCCTTTCCAACAAATGCGTAGTCTCACAGGTTGGGTTTTATCCACTACAAAAGCGATGTTTTGTTTCTTTTACAGTAAGAATAGAATGTAGAAAACTCTTCGTAATTTTGTAGCTACTTCTGTAAGTTGTCATCCTGGTTGCTTGTCATTAAGTGTCACTTCTGGATATCCACCAAGTTTTGCTGTTGCTCCTTACATTGGGACAAATAATTAATTTGAATACACAGTCTATTAGAAATACAGTGGTGATTGCTATCGCTTATCCTGTAAATATCACAGCACTTTGCAGGATTGTGGGCTGCACAGAATTATACCTGACAGGAACTCGTACTTTTTAGACTGCTTATGATAAGCAGAACCATTTTTGTTCTGCAGGCCAGAAACAGTATATTACAGTTAGTTTGTATGTGAAGAAAGAAGCTACAGATTTCCAGTAAAGCGTGTTGATCATTAACAACAGTTTTGCTTTCTCCATTTTTAGGAGCCAGCTCCTTTATATGAGCTTTCAATGCTTGCTTTAGAGGATCCTGAAAGTGGCTGGACAGAAGAAGATGGCCCAAAAGAAGGGCTTGCGGAGTACATTGTGGAGTTTCTGCAAAAGAAGACTGAAATGTTGAAAGACTACTTTTCTCTTGAAATTGATGAGGTGACTGCTGCTATTACTTCTGACAGTAAATGAATGGTTGAATGGCAGCGTTAGGTTTATGGTTGGACTTGATGATCTTAAAGGTCTTTTCCAACCTAGATGATTCTATGATTTTAGCTTTTAGTAACAGGTAAGAGCAGTAGTTTGCTTGCAGTACTTAACTATCACTAAGAACTAGCACCAGTAGGATTTAGGTGGCTGACCCCTTTCATTCAAAATGCTCAGGACTTACGCTGCTTTTAGAAGGGTGCTACACAAAGGAGTTTATGTTTAACTAGTTACCAAATAAAATAATTTAGTCATTGCTTCCATAACTAGAATGCAGATCTCTTACCCAACAAGGTGTGCAGCTTAACCAGCTCTCTAGCTGGGCTGGGCTACAGCATCGCCATTGCTCTCAGCATGTTGTTTTCTTTTTGTGTGTGTGCCCTAATGCTTCCCTTGCTCTATACAAAACTGAACAGCTTCATCAAGGGTCATATAACCCAGATGCTTCACTCGGATATTCTCCTGGGGAGAGGGATCTGAGTAGTCAGTGGCTGGAGGAGGAGGCTGAATTCAGGCCTTCACAAGGCCTGGATTTAAGCCACTCAGCTCGGGAAGTTTACCACCACTGCTAAGCCTCTTCCTGCAATCTGTACCTGGCATCAGGCTTTAAAACCTTGTAACTTCAGATACCCGGAAGGCTCACTAAGTATGGTCTTACAACACGTAACAGTTTTGGTGCGCTTACTGGAAGAAAAAATGTTGTGGTTTTGTTTGGGTTGTTTTACTGAAGCAGCAGGTTTGCCTTGCAGGAAGGAAACCTGATTGGGTTACCACTTCTGATAGACAACTATGTCCCACCGCTGGAAGGACTGCCTATGTTCATCCTTCGCTTGGCCACAGAGGTATATTCTCTTCATTATTTTATTCATTCACAAATAATTTTTTTTTTTATTTTGGAAAGAATGAAATGAATCAAATTAATTAATCAGAAGGTGCAAAGGAAAGGCTGGAGCTGGTTAAATGTACTGTTACATGCTCCAGACACTTCTGCTACAGTTACTGATTAGTTGTGCTTTGCCTCTGCATTCATAACTACTGATTGAATGGGAATACATTTTGATTCTAAAGCCTGCATTTCTACCCTTTTTTTTTTTTTTTTTTTTTTTTTTT